TCCTCACCCCCTCCCCATAGCCCTCTATCAATCCCCAAACTAATCCCTCTGCCCTAACCCCTCCCCATAGCCCTGTATCAATCCCAAATTAATCACACTGCCCCACTGTCTCCCCCGGGCCATACATCAATCCCCAAATGAGTCCGACTGCCCCGATCTCACCCCATAGCCCTGTATCAATCCTGAAACTAATCCCTCTGCCCCGCTCTCTCCCCGTAGCCCTTATCAATCTCAAACTTATCCTACTGCCTGCTCTCTCTCCATAGCCCTGTATGAATTCAAAAATAATCCCACTGCTCCACTCTGTCTTCCTTCGCCGAACCAAGTATCTCTCCCTTTCTGTCTGAGACGGTCACACGAAGATAAGAGTTGCAGGTTAATGAGAGCCTTGTCTCTGGAAGGAAAGATGGGGGGAGGGGGCGTCTGGAAATAGTGTGTTTTGGCTCTGTTCTGGCATATGCTTTATTGTGTCTTTCCCGCGGGACACCTGCAGGATTTATCAGCTTCTGGTGCGAAGAAATCTGAGGAAGATGAACAGTCAACATGCCTCGAGGCCTGTCCTCCCTCGCCGCCCCCAGAAGGGTGCGTACAATGGGAGAGTATGCTCTCTCGTTTCAACTGCACATAAACATTGCCAGTTACCGCCAAGGTCGCTGTGTCGTGTTCGCAGATAAAGCGAGCATCGCCGAGTCACTGCAGTTACACCACCCGCAGACTGGATGAGAATCTCAAACAAGACAGCACCCTGAGAGAGCCGCTTACATGAGCCCCGCAGGTTGATTCGAATTGTAATCTGCGATATTTCCTCTGTGTGTGTGTTTTTTTTTTGAACGTTTATCTACCCACGAGAGTTATCAGTCAACGTTTGACCTTGTCAAAATATTTCTTCAATGGACGGGCTCTCCATCAACATGCTATCGCTGTTCATCGCACTCCTAATCTTGGTCAGTTTGAGTCCTCCGACGCTCTGCCACCTGCTCCCAGTTTCTGAAGGAGATGCCGCCCAGACATCCAGCTCATCCAACAGGTAAACAGACTGGAACAACCCTCGCTTATTGTCTGCCAGGTAAAGCAGCTCCAGGATCTGCCCTGACTCTGCAGAGCATCAATGGGTCACCCAGACTTCACAGTGAATCTAATTTTCGGGTTTTTTTTTCCCATTCAATGTTTATCTTCCCACACTTTTTGTTTTATTTTGCTTTTTTAAAATTTGCGCCTATATTACAGGATCCAGTGCCAGGTGGGAGCCCACTTATGCCCCCTTCCCAGACCACCCTGAGTTTTATCGCTCCACCTCGGTCTAGCCCAGAGGTTAGTCAGCCCCGTGCTGTTTACCCGACAGGGTACAGATGGTTCACCCCCTGAAGTCCTTGGGCAGAACATACCCGGTCACTCCCTCCGCGTTGTCGGCTGCCCGAAGGTGTTGGAGCTGGGTTTCAGCTCAACGGCACCTGCTCCCGGACGGAGCGCGCGTCTTCGGCAGCAGAACGGGCACCTTCTCGCCAATTTCTCAGAGCACCGCCCGCACCCAGTGCCTCCTGCCGTTTCTTGGTGTCATTGGATTGGGAGCAGACTGGACCGTTCTGGAGGAAGTAGCCCCCTTGGTATTCCAAAGTGTTCACCAATCTCCGGTCTACATCGCCTGCGTTGGGAGGCACACGTTACAGTGAGGTGTCTTCAACACCCTCTCTCACCAGCATTCCACCTTCCCTCCCATGCAGTGACCCACACTCTCTGCCACCTGCCAACCAGGCCCATTATAGTACCCTGCTCTAGACACATGCCCCAGCTAAACACACACACACCCACATATGCACACACACTTATACACACACCCATACACATCCATACACCCATATACATGCCAACACACACCTACGCACACAACACACACTCTCATTGTCACACACACACACACACACACAAATACACACTGACACACACTTATACATCCATATACACACATATACATAACACAAATCAACAAACACACACCGACACCCACACACACACCCATCCACATACTAACACACACCCATATACACACCAACACACACCAAAGCACACAATACACACAAAAGTCACACACACACACACACACACACACACACACCCACCTTTATACATACATACTCGCACATACCCATCATACACATAACAACACTGAGCTTTTCAATATTTTCACAATAAGACACACACTAATACATTCATTTACACAACCACACACAACACAAAACAACAGACATCTGTGCATTCATATACACACACATACCCACTAAAACAGACATACACAGCACACACATCTATGCAGGCACAAATGTATGCACACCCCCAGTGCTTCAGCCACAGTCACTGTCACCTATGCATGCAAGGACACACATCCTCCCACAAAAACAACCCCTCACAATTACACATATTCCCCCTCACACCCACACACACACTGGAAATTACATACATAGACCCACACCCTCACAAATGCATTCATTCACACCAACACATTCTCTAACATTCACTCACACAGGCACACTGTCACCAATATCCTCTCCAAAACTCTCTCCCACACCCAGACTCACCAACACCCTCTCCAACACTCTCTCCCACTCTCACACTCACC